GGTTGTGTCTCCTCTTACCTGGTATGCTTGTCCTGGCTCTCACCCTTGATGCAAGTATCACAGACTGCAATTCAGCCTCACCAAGTCTTTCTCTCCAGTTGGTCATTTTTAGAATTAAGATGCGAGTAACAGAAACTATGAAGTGACAGGCTAAATGAGAAGAAGAAAGGGTTAGCCCAGGAAGACTGAACAGATTACATGGACATACAGGTACTAATACAGGGCTGGAGAGATAGCATAGTGGGTAGGGCGTTTGCCTTGCACGGTCGACCCAGGTTCGATTACCCAGCACCCAGCACCCCCACATGGTCCCAGGATCTCATCCTCAAGAGATATCAACCTCTCTGTCCCTCTTGGAGAGCTTGGCAAGCTACCTAGAGTTTCCTGCCCACATGGCACAGCCTGGCAAGCTCCCCATAGCGTATTTGATATGTCAAAAACAGTAACAACAAGTCTCACAATGGAGACGTTATTGGTGCCCGCTTGAGCAAATTGATGAACAATGGAAGGACACTGCTACAGTGCTACAGGTACTAAGTCAGGGAGGCTGTTTCCCTGGGAATAGTCATCAGGTCATTTGTCAGGAAGAGCAAAGAACAGAGAATAAACAGCAGGAGAAGAAGCAACAGGACAAAGGTGCTTTCAAATTCAGTCAAGACAGTTCAAAGTCCAAGGTCTAGATAAACAGAACACAAGGAATATGATCAAAAAAACATAAGGAGCTGGACCTGGTCAGATGACCAAACCTTGGGGAGGCATGTGAACCTATCCACACATGGAAGCTGGTAGAGCCCTGAATTCAAACATCCAGGAAGAAGGTGGTAGCAAAAACACAAGGAATATAAACAAGATCAGGAACTCAGTCATCAAAGGGGCATCCTCAAGAGATATCAATAAGAGGGCCAGAAAGACGGCTCAATGGGCCGAACACATGATTTGATCCCTGGGACCAAATGGTCCCCTACGCACCACTAGAAGTGAGCCCCATGAGGTGTGGCCCAAAATAAGTAAACAAGAAATCAGGATCAAAACCCAATCCTTGAAACAGTGGACCTAAAGTCCAGTTCCCTAAACCTTGCTTCCTGCTGATGGTGTGTCCAATAAGAAGTCTAATTTGAAGCTAAGATCAGGTCCCTTCATGTGTTGCTTCTCCAAAATATACTGAACCAAACACACAGTGTTCGGTTGATCATGTCAGTACTGTTCATGGCACCAACTGGGAAGTTGGACAAGACAAGACAGCAGGTCATGTGCTTGTCTTGCACATAGTCAACCCAGGTACCACATCCAGCACCCCCACATGGTCCCATGAGCTCCGCCAAGAGTGACCCCTGAGTGCAGAGCCAGATGTAAGCCCTGAGTACGGCCTGAATTCAGTTCCCAGATTTCCAGAGTATACTGACACCCACGACCTCCAGATTTGATAGAACCTGGATTTTTTTTTCTCCACCTCTTCTTTTTTTTTTTCTTTTTGGGTCACACCTGGTGATGCACAGGGGTTATTCCTGGCTCTGCATTCAGGAATCACTCCTGCTGGTGCTCAGGGAACCATATGGGATACTGGGAATCGAACCTGGGTTGGCCACATGCACGACAAATGCCCTACCCGCTGTGCTATCGCTCCAGCCCCTCTCTACCTCTTCTTGACTGCATGAACAATTAGGAGATTTGCCATCACAGATGGAGAGGGCAAGGATAGACTGCTGTTTTGTGAATGTGACTGTTGGACCCAAAAGGTGCCTCCACATACAGAAAAAGGGTAGATGGGCATCTCCTGGACCACTCTGGGTTTCTTTGTCCTCGGCTGATTTGTTTTTCTCCTCCCTCCCTGGGTTCAAAAATTATTCTGACACCCCATTCCAAAAAAGGAACTAGAAACCTTCTCTTCCCTCCGCTTCTCTTCCCTTTGTCGTTCTCACACATTCTAGGGGGTTGGGGTGCCCCCACACATTGTGGTTGCTGGGAGCTGGGGATTGCACTCTCGTAGTGTCAGGGACCACAAAGGTAATTGCGGAGGTGGAAGTCAAGGCCTCATGGATGCAGAACAGGTGCTCAGCCCATCCCCAGGCCTCCTAGAAATGTTCTCTTACTGAGTCAAGAGAAATTTGCCCTCTCTCTCAAAATCCCTCGGCCTTTTTCAGGAGAAAGAACCTCACCCATTTCTGAAATGACTATAGCTAATGCTGTTTAGTCAGTTTTGGTGTATTCTACTAGTATTCTGTGCAAAGATGCTGGGTTGAGAAAGAAAATCCATCTCGTGATCAACTAAATGTTTGTATACCTCCCATCACCACCACCACCACCAGATTCTTGTGTTGAAGTTTTAGGTTCTATTGGGAAGTTTTGGAAATAAGGCCCTGGGGAAGGAATTCATTTTGGATGAGGTCACACAGTCAATCCATCAGGATGAGATTCAGTATCTTACCGTAAGGGGGAAGAGAACAGAATTCTCTCTTTCTTTTTACGGGGAAGACACAATGAAAACGAGGCTGTCTTCAAGCCTGGGAGACGATCAAGAATGGAATCTGCCAACATCTCACTCTCGGACTTGGTAACCTCCAGGACTGAGAAATAAACATCTGTTCTGGAAGTCTCTCTCCTTGACCTTCTGAATCACTCAAATTTGATCCTATATCTCTAAGGACAAGAAGGAGAAGACACCCCTCAGACAAATATGATGACCTTCTTGGTGTGTGAAATGTTCTCAACTCAGGGCTGGAGTGATAGCACAGCAGGTAGGGTGTCTGCCTTGCACACAGCCGACCCGGGTTCGATTCCCAGCATCCTATATGATTGCCCGAGCACTGCCAGGAGTAATTCCTGAGTTCATGATCCAAGAGTAACTCCTGTGCATCGCCAGTGTGACTCCAAAAAAAAAGAAAAAAAATGTTCTCAACTCTTGGTACTGAGTCTCAAAGATTATCTTTATATTAAGAAATAAGCAGAGGGCTGGAGGATAGCATAGCGGGTAGGGCATTTGCCTTGCACATGGCCTGCCCGGGTTCAATTCCCAGCATCCCATATGGTCCCGCGAACACCACTAGGAGTAGTTCCTGAGTGCAGAGCCAGGACTAATCTCTGAGCATCGCCGGGTGTGAACTAAAAAGCAAAAAAAAAAAAAAGAAAAGAAAAGAAAAATAAAGAAAGAAAAGAAAAGAAAGAAAGAAAGAAAGAGAGAGAGAGAAAGAAAGGGAAAAAATAGGCAGAGAAGATAGAGAGGGAGGACAGAGAGCCAGAGAGAGCCAGAGAGAGAGAGAGAGAGAAAGAAAGAGCAGAACCATAGAGGCAAACTGAAGGGAGAGGAGCTGGAGGTGTTGTGAGGGAAACTGGGGACACTGGTGGTGGGAAATGTACACTTGTACACTGGTGGAGGGTTGAGTGTTGGAACACTGGAACCCAATCATGAGCAGCTTTGTAATGGGCTATCTCATAGTGATTCAATAAAAATCTAAAATTAAAAAAATAAGATAAATAGGCAGAGGAGGCACTCCATCACTTTAAAGATCAAATTTATTTTTGAAGAAAACGTTGCTTGGTCACCTCAGATGACACATCCGAGATGGAAACACCTCCAAGATGGAAACCCAGTCGCTGAACACCAACTGCAAAAGAACCTTAAGTGCAGTTCCCGGCCATTTTTCCTGGGGCTCATTTTGTCCCCAACCCAGGCATGCCCTCTGCTTCTCCCTTCAACCAAACACCACCTCGTCATCATCCCGATCCAGAAGCCCACCTGGCTGCCACCCGCATCTTCCCACCCCGAAATGTTGCAGTGTTGCCGTCTAAACTCCAAGTTCGTTCATTGATTGATCTGCCTTCTCTTTTGCCCTTTTAGTCATCTCCCGTGTACACAGCTTGTCTCCCAAACTAAACCTGAGTCTCTCGCCCCCTAGGACTTCGTGGAGTTTGACATTTTTCTTTCTTCCCTGGGGAGAGAAGCCTCCTAAGCAAGACAACCATCGAGAGCTGATTCATTCTCCTCAGTCCTTTTGCTAAACACGCCTCCCTTCCCTGGTCATCCTTGCCAGTGACCTTCTTTCTTTCTGTCTCTCCTGGCTCCTTAGGTCAGAAAATATTGGGGAAAAAAAATAAGATGCAGACATTTTCACGACCAAGTTCATAAAGAGGTCTAGGACCACTGCCTAAGATGCAGATTGCAGAGGGTGGCTCTTAAACATTACTGCATTTGGTCAGGGGTGGGGGGTGGAGGGTATTCCCAGGTTGTGCCAGGAGACCCCAGGGATCACTCCTGGCAGTGCTCAGCCTGGCTGTATGGGCCTTATGGTTTTTATGCTTGGGCAAGGTGAGGGGCGTAGCTCCACTGGAAGGTCTTTGGGGGCCACATGGGTCACATCGAACAGTGTTCAAGGGACCAAGCAATGCTGAAGATGGAACTTGGGACCGAGTGCCCATCTGGTATGCACCCCAAACAATTCCAACCATCTCACCAGCCCCTCACCGTTACTCTTCACCCTCTACCCCAGCCTTTCATGAGCCTTGTCCCCATTTGTCACCTGTTCTTGTGAAGTGGATGAAAGAATGAACAAAGGGGCTGGAGCAATAGCACAGTGGGTAGGGTGTTTACCTTGCACACGGCTGATCTGGGTTCAATTCCCAGCATCCTATATGGACCTCTGAGCACTGCCAAGAGTAATTCCTGAGTGTATGAGCCAGGAGTAACCCCTGTGCATCACCGGGTGTGACGCAAAAAGCAAACAAAAAAAAAGAACAGAAAAATCCAGGTATGGTGGGTCTTGGCCATTAAAAACCCAAAACTGGGCCGGAGCAACAGTACAGCAGGTAGGGCATTTGCCTTGCATGTGGCCTACCCAGGTTCGATCCCCAGCATCCCATAGGGTCCCTTGAGCACCACCAAGAGTAATTCCTAAGTGCAGAGCCAGGAGTAACCCCTGAGCATTGCTGGGTGTGACCCAAGAAGCCAAAAAATTAAAACCAAAAATACAAAAAACAAAAACCCAGAACTCCTCTGGTTCTTTTAGACGACACAAGATCTACAAGGAGCAAATGAACCTCACTTCCCTGGACCCTCCGCTGCAGCTCCGGACCGGGGCCAGCTGGCTCCAGTTCCACCTGGGAATCAACCGTCATGGGCTATACCCCCGGTCAAGTACTGTGGTCAGCCAACTCCTCCACGACATGAAGCAGTTTCCCACCATCAGCGCTGGTGAGGTTCAGGGGTGCCGGCGGGGAGGGGGTAGGGGAGCTCCCTCTGAGCCAAGCATCTGTGTTCAGGCTCCAGGGTGAAAAGTTGAAATGGCAACTCTCGCCTGGGGAGCCCAAATGATCCTTTTCCCTCTGAAAGCTATTCGGCCCCCCTGAGGGTCCTCTCATCCCGAGCCCCGGGAAGGAGCAAGGGGAGCTCTTGCTCCACTTAAGCAATGAAGGCCTCTGCCAGCAAGTGGATCTTCTCACACCCACTTTGCAGATGGAAAAACTGAGCCTTTTGGCTGGGACTCCAGCCCAAGTCAGCTCTATGTGCTCCTGAGCTCAGTACATCCCATGCCCGGGGCTGTTGGAGATAAATTTGAGCAGGAGGGACCAGAGTGATAGCACAGCGGGGAGGGCATTTGCCTTGCATGCAGCCGACCCGGGTTCAATTCCCAGCATCCCATCTGGTCCCCTGAGCACCGCCAGGAGTAATTCCCGAGTGAGTGCAGAGCCAGGAGCAACCCCTGAGTTTCGCCGGGTGTAACCCAAAAAGTCAAAAAACATAAATAAATTTGGGAGCTTGTGGCCATGGGTGTGAGAAGGAAGGTAGGGACCACAGCCAGGCGTAGCACTGGGGTCTCCCCTGTGGAAGGCCCCAGTCCAGGCTGCCTCAGTTTCCCTGAGGGTGCCTGCAAGCGTGGGCCCCCATGCGACCAGCGTTCCAGAGACACGCTGCTTGACTGACCACCTCTGCTCCCTTCCAGACTACAGTCAGGACGAGAAGGCGCTGCTGGGAGCATGTGACTGCAGCCAGAGTAAGTGGCCCAGCCACCCCCCCCCGCACCCCCCCCCTCCCGCCACAGCCCCAGATGTGCCGAGCATCCAAGTGTCCCCCTGTGCAGTGCCCTGCTGCTCCCTCTTCACCCAGCCACCCACCAGGAGCTCATGTGACATACAGGTTCTCTTTCCACAGAGTCAGGAATTGGACCCCTTCCCCACCCTCCCCCCAAATAGAAAAGATACAGAATTTCTGTGCCCACTCTGCTTTTCGAATCAGAATCTGGATTTTTGACCTCAGGGATGGGAGAGCTCTACCATATGTCAGGGACAGTGGTCCTGGCTTGAGGCTCTGCACCAGCTATCAATAGTCCCCCGGGGGGCTCTGGATCCTATTTGAGGCATGGGCGAGGCATGGCACTGGATGGCACCCACGGGGCTGGAATGATAGCACAGTGGGTGGGGCGTTTGCCAGGTTACATTCCCAGCATCCCATAGGGTCCCCTGAGCACCGCCAGGAGTAATTCCTGAGGGCAGAGCCAGGAGTAACCCCTGTGCATCACCGGGTGTGTGACCCAAAAAAAAGCAAAAATTAATAAATAAAATAAAATGGCACCCACCCAGGGCTCAGCCTCTCTGGGGTAAATGATGGGCAGAAGCAAAATGACGGTGTGGGAACACAGAGCTCCCCCCAATGCTGGGATGAATTGGGGAGAATGCAGGGATGAATTTGGTGGCCAGCCACCAAATGCCCATGGCCAGGGGTAGTCACTGCTCCATTGACCTTGATATGCTGAACATACATCAGAAATGCCGCAGGGTGTCTGGATGCTGTCAAGTTCAAATGACGGAGTTTTTAGGGCTGAAAGCTCTGTTTTCCATTACTTAAGCCCATGCTGGTTTATGAAACTCTAGGTGAGGGATATTTGCCTGCCTGATCAGGCTCCCAAGAAAGGAGGTGAGTGTCTGGGGCTCTGGGCTGCCACTCGGCAGCTCCCGTGTCAACTTCGCCAGGTTGTTCCCATCCCTGACAGAGAGAATCCTCCAGGCTTCCCTCAGTCTGCTCCCAGCTCTGCTGAGCCAGGGGACGCCCAGCCTGCAGGCCATCTCGGGCCTCCAACATCAGAGGGTCTGACTTTGGTCCGTGATGGGACAGAAATAGTTACACATGCATCTTGTTGGCTGCCCATGACCTGTCGGCGCATGAATCTCTGTCACTGTATCACTGTCATCCTGTTGTTCGTCAATTTACTCGAGCAGGAGCCAGTAACATCTCATTCATCCCAGCCCTGAGATTTTAGCAGCCTCTCCTTACTCGTCTTTTCCAATGCTGCCATATTAGAGACTCTTTCAGGGTAAAGGAATGAGGACCATCATTGTTATTGTTTTGGGCATATCAAATACACCATGGGGAGCTTGCCAGGCTCTGCTGTCAGGCTCATGAGTGATGTCAGAAATATCCCAATGGCCTTGGGCAGAAAAAGGTCCCTCCCATGCACACACACACCCCCACTGCCAACTCCCTCTGCCACTATCCCCAAGCTAGTGGAATGTGGGACTGAGGCAGGACAGTGTCAGAATCTGTAAAGGAAATACAAGAAGCCTAAAGAAATACATCTAGTTTGGAAAATGGCAGACCATTTTGGGGATGCTGCAGTGCTTGTCTGGAAAAACCTACATTATTTGCCCATTTCCCAGCAAGGAAAAAAAAAACAACAACAACAAAAAAACAAGACTGTCTCAAGTCCCTGCCTCCCCATCATGGCCTGATGTGAAGGGTTTTTGTTGAGTGAGCAGACAGGTGCAGCCTACCCGGGGACATATGGCTGAACCCCTCTTATCCCCTGACAGTTGTGAAGCCCAGTGGGGTCCACCTGAAGCTGGTCCTGAGGTTCTCGGACTTTGGGAAGGCCATGTTCAAACCCATGAGGTAAGTGACCACCTTCCTCCTCCCTCCACCCAAGGAGTAAAAAAATCCCCTGATCCCCCCAACTCCTGATTCCCACCCCATAAAAAAGTCCAAAAATATTCAAGCCATTTATTTCAGGGAATATCTTTGGGACAAATTGCCCAATCCGGGGCTGAAGATACAATATACCAGTTAGGGCATTTGCCTTGTATGTAGCTGACCTAGGTTCGATCCCCAGCATCCTGTATGGTCCCCCAAGCACCATAAGGAGTGATTGCTGAGTGTAGAGTAAGTTCTGAGCATTGCTAGATGTGGCCCAAAAGTCATTTATATACATGTATATGTCACTGTCACTGTCACTGTCCTCCTGTTTTTCATTGATTTGCTCAAGCGGGCACCAGTAACATCTCACAACAAATTGTGAGACTAGTTGTTACTGTTTTTGGCATATCTAATACATGACAGGGAGCTTGCCAGGCTTTGCTGTGCGGGCGAGATACTCTTGGTAGCTTTCTGGGCTCTCCAAGAGGGTTTGTAAAGAAATCGAAACCATGTCAGCTGTGTGCAAGGCAAACACCCTACCCGCTGTGCTATTGCTCCAGCCCACATGTATATGTATATACATAAATTGCCCAAGTCTATAGCTATAGAGGGTAAAGATAATCAGAAACGGAAAGAGCTAGAATTAAGCAGATATGTCACACCCTGCATGGTTGTCTCTGGGTCGTTAATAAGTCTCTGAGCCAGGTCATTGGTGGTAGTGTCCACTTCAATAACTGCTCGCACCCAGAGAGGCCAGCAACTCCCATCTCCTGGCTATGGTCAGTGGAGCTAAGTTCAGGCCCAGGTGGCTGCGTTACTGAATGGATCCACATTCTCCCACTATAATTGATACCAGAATCCAGACATTCACTGATCTTCCTGGCTTCTATTGGTCGGGATGGCAAAAGTAGACAGTGAAGCAATGCTAGTAAGAAGTCAGTGACACCTCTGGATTCCTTCCTACTTTATTCATAACAGCGAGTGGATGCCTTTAAAGCTTGTTCTACCACATCCGAGAGATAGGACAGTAAGTGAGGCACTTATCTGGCATGCGGGTGTGGTGGCCGCCACCCAGGTTCAAATCCCTGGCCCCACATAAGGTCCCCTCAGCACCACCAGGGGTCACTTCTGAGTACAGAGCCAGAAATAGCACTTGGTGTTGAGATATTAAATGTAATAATAACTCATCGTGAAATACTTTATCAGTAAATCAGTAAATCAGTAAAGGCCCTCCCGTTGATCGTCGATTTGCTCGAGCGGGCCCAGTAACGTCTCCATTGGAGACTTTGTTGTTACTGTGTCTGGCATATCGAATACTCTCGGTAGCTTGCCGGGCTCTCCGAGAGGGGCGGAGGAATCGAACTCGGGTGGGCCATGTTGGCCGCTTGTAAGGCGAACGCCCTACCCGCTGTGCTATTGCTCCAGCCCCCTAGCGTCCGGGCGGGCGCCTCGCCTCCCCGCCCCCTGCCTCAGCCTTTCCCGCCGCTCCGGCGCCGAGCCCGGGACCCGCCGCCGGCCGGGACCGCGCCCGAACCCCAGGGGACCGTTCCTGCCCCCGGCAGGCAGCCGGCCGGGCGCGGGGCGCGGGCGGGGAGGGGCGTCCGCGGGCGGCGAGCGGGGGGCGGCCCGCGCGGCGCGGGCTCTCCCCATGGTGCGGCGGGCTCCGGGATGTCGAAGACGCTGAAGAAGAAATACTTTATAAAAATTATTTTTAATCTAGTTGATTAAGGAACCTAAGTAAAAATAGTAACCAAGGTAAGACACAAAACAAGAAATGTTAAGATGCCTAGAAAAAACATATTAATTATGTGATGACTATAATTAACTGGATTGAAGGTATATTAAGCCCTTCGCCCTCCTGCCCACATGCCTGGGTCTCTGCCTTCATGTCAGGGTGCCCCCTGCCAGCTGCATTCTCATGGAAGCCGAGGTACAGAAGCAAAACAGAGCACAGAGCGCTTAACAGACATTGCTACATTTGAATCATCCTTGTTATCTATGGTCAGATGTCTGGGCATTTATGTCCATGGCCTTGAGGTCTGGCACAGGAGCGATAGCACAACAGGTAGGGCGTTTGCCCTGCACACAGCCGACCCAGATTTGATTCCTCCATCCTTCTTGGAGAGCCCGGCAACCTACTGAGAGTATCTCGCCTGCATGGCAGAGCCTGGCAAGCTCCCTGTGGCATATTCAATATGCTAAAAACAGTACTAACAAGTGTCACAATGGAGACACTACTGGTGTCTGCTCAAACAAATTGATGAACAATGGGAGGATGGTGCGACAATGCAATAGATTGTAAACTCACGACCCTGAGGCATGACATGGTTTTCCCAAATGGAGTCACGGTGATTCTGTTTCTTTCAGGAGGAAGGGCATCTCTTGGGCATGAGTCCTCTCTCATGCCCACCCCTCTCTTTATCCTTGGGCATCTGGAGCTCTGCCATCCCGGGTGCTGCCTGCAAGTGCCCTCCCCCTGCTTACAACCACTGAGGAACGTCCCATTGGGTGTTTCCATCTGCTGCTGTCACCAGAGTTGTCTTCACAAGACACTCGTGGTGCCCACTTTGCAGGCCTCCTGCCTGGGGAGCCACTTTGAGCTCAAAGCGTGTTTTCCTTTCTCTCCGGCTGTGCTTAGCAGCTCTCCTCCCATTCTCCTGTTGGGGCCTGGGTCCCGGGCCTGATTCCTTCCATCCTTCCAGACAGCAGCGAGATGAGGAGACACCCGAGGATTTCTTCTATTTCATCGACTTCCAGAGACACAACGCCGAGATAGCGGCTTTCCACCTGGACAGGTAGGTCGGGCACACCACCTGCCGCAGCTCTTGGCCCTCGGTCACTCCTGGAGGTGTGGGGAGCTCAGAATGGGCCAGTGCTATCCTTTAGGTCACCTTTGGCCCCTGCCCCAGAAGTCTCAAAAGGAATAGCTAAGAAGAAAAGGAAGGGTCTAAGAGATAGTACCGCGAGTAACTTGCATTTGCCAACCAAGTTCAAACCCCAGCACCAAATAGGGTAATCAGAGAACTGCCAGGAGTGATCCCTGAGCACAAAGCCAAGAGTAAGCCATGAGCCCTGTTAGGTATGCGACCCCCCCCCACACACACACAAAAAAAAATAAAACGAAATATAAGATATTAAATCTCGGGGCTGGAGCGACAGCATAGCGGGTAGGGAGTTTGTCTTGCATTTGGCTGACCCAGGTTCAATTCCCAGCATCCCATATGGTCCCTTGAGCACCACCAGGACTAATTCCTAAGTGCAGAGCCAGGAGTAACCCCTGTGCATCATTGGATATGACCCAAAAAGGAAAGAAAGAAAGAAGGAAGGAAGGAAGGAAGGAAGGAAGGAAGGAAGGAAGGAAGGGAGAGAGAGAGAGAATATTAAATCTCCTTCCTCCTATTGCCCAGCCATTTTTTCTCGGGGTGTAGGATATGGCGGGGAGAATAGGGAGCAGCTAGGAACTTTCCAGAAACACACAATCCTGGCCTCCCCCTGGGCCCCGCAAAACCAGATTCTGCACTTCAACTGGACCCCAGGCAGCTCAGGCTCATGGACGTTTGTTGCTCTGACCGGAAGCCAGTTCAGAGGGCAGGGACGTTTGCTCTGGGCATCCCCTTTTCCAGCCTTTCTGATAAGAGGTTGCCCTTCAGAGACCCCCTCCATCGTGGCCAAGTCAGGACAAGCCTCCCACACCCCAACCTCCTCGCCTCCCCCTCTAAGCCAGGTTCCCTCTCTCGCAGGATCCTGGACTTCCGGCGGGTGCCGCCTACAGTGGGGAGGCTCGTGAATGTCACCAAGGAGATCCTTGAGGTCACCAAGAATGAAATCCTGCAGAGCGTTTTCTTTGTCTCTCCAGGTAGAGCCCCAGCCAGGGAAGCCTTTTGGGCTTGGGTCATGGGGGGCTTCTCCCCGTGAAGGTATTCCTTGCTGGGATCATGCACAGTGTATAGGATGGACCCCTTACCTCACCCCCAGTCCTCCTGCACACATCGCAGGAGGATGAATCAGGGCAAGGGGTGGAAGGCAGATGAGAGGCGCCTCCCTGGGGCCCCGATAGCGTCCAGTCAAATCGAGGACACTCAAGTCCCAGGGAGGCTTGCAGTGATGCCGGGACCCCCCACTTTAACTCACACGCTCCCTTCCCGTGGTAAGGGCTGGGACTTCTGTCCCTCTGCCTTCTCTCGAGCTGGAACCTCAGGATTGCCCTTCACTCGGCAGGGGGTTCTGGGGGGTCAACCTCGCAAGCCTTCTCTTCCTCCTCTCTCCTCCCTCACCCTCCAGCCAGCAATGTCTGCTTCTTCGCCAAGTGTCCGTACATGTGCAAGACCGAGTACGCCGTGTGCGGCAACCCCCACCTGCTGGAGGGCTCCCTCTCGGCCTTCCTGCCATCCCTCAACCTGGCGCCCCGGCTGGCTATGCCCAACCCCTGGATCCGCTCCTACTCGCTGGCAGGGAAGGAGGAGTAAGTTGGCACCGTAGCCCCAAGGGCCAAGGCCAATGCCTGCCTGGCTCCCGAACCTCCCTCCCGGCTACCTTGGTCCTTCTTTGCTTCATCTCAGAGTGCACCCAACTGGCCGGGTCTCTTCTCTCCCCAGTTAGAAAGAGCCTGGGGTGCCCCCGCCCTCTCACTGGGGCTGCACAAATACGACTCTGGCTGGCCTTTCCAGCAGCCGCCCAGCCCCAAATGGAGCCAGGTCAGGAAAAAACAGGCAAAGAGCCCATGGGCAGGATGCTTGGTCCCCAAAACAGTCTCTGCAGGGTGCCCCAGGGCCTAGCCTACTCCTGGACCCAGAGTGGGCACCCACTGAACCCCGCTGGATAAAGAAATGCTTCATCCATGAGTGCCCCCAGTCCTGGTGAGAAGGAACCAGATTAGGTATCACAGCCACCACGAGAGCACCCCCACAGAGTGGGTGCTCCAGGGAACAAGCTCTGGAAGGATCTAGAACCTTCTAGGAAGATCCAGCGCCTTCTCACAGTGCATACTCTACAGCCCTGCCTCCCCCACACCACTTCGGGCCATTGTCCAGGCTCCTTCTGGGACCGGATTAGAGAGAAGCAGGTGGGGTGGGGGACAAGAGCCATGTGTCAAGGACCCCCAACACCCTGCCATCTTGGCTCTTCCAGCCCCAGGATTTGTTCTCCCCCTCAGGTGGGAGGTTAATCCGCTGTATTGCGACACCGTGCGACAGGTGTACCCATACAACAGCAGTCACCGGCTACTGCACATCATCGACATGGCCATCTTCGACTTCCTGATCGGTAAGTCACTGGTCACTGTTGCTAACCTCAGAGGGCAGCCCAGTGCGCCCAGGGGACAGAAGTCAACATGCTCCCCTCGCTGGAGAAGCCATCTTGTCCCTGGGGACACACAACCTGGTCCACAAGGGGCCAGGGACCTGAGGCAGGGGGAGGGGCAAGGGAGGGCAAGGGGAAGGGGAGGGTAAGGGGAGGGGGAGGGCGAAGGGGGGGAGAGGAAGGGGAGGCGGGATGGGGGGAGGATGGGGAACGCCCCTAGGGAGAAGTTTCTGACTGGGAAAAGCAGACAGCTCTGAAGGGGGTCTTCACACACACACACACACACACACACACACACACACACACACACACTTTGAGCTGGTGTTCCAGGGCACGCATCTCAATGCTGGTGCCCCTGGGACAGTTTATACTGTCTGTGGTGTTGGATCCCAGCTGGGGATTGTGGGCTGAGGGCTGAGAGGGGGTCAGATTCCAGCCCAGGCTGGCGAAAACTGCAGGCCTGAATCTGGGGCTGTTTGCTTGTTCAGCTTCTCCCTCTGCGCAGCAGGTCACATTAGCCCCGGGGAAGCGGCAGCTTGTGGGCCCCGGGCTCAGACTCAGCCTCTCATGACGTCAGGTGGCTCTGGGCCCTGGCCTTTTGGCCCTTGCCCCAGTGTCACCCCTTCTTCACAGGAAATATGGACCGTCACCACTATGAGATGTTCACCAAATTTGGGGATGACGGGTTCCTCATCCATCTCGACAATGCCAGAGGGTAAGTGACCCAGCCACACTGCCGCGCAGCTGCTGGGGGGAGAGGCGCAGAGCCAGCGGCCTTGGTCATCCCATTCTGTCCCCTTTTGCCTGACTTACTCTGTTGCCTTTCTCTCTCACTCTCAGCTAAGTACCATTTGATTCTCCTCCAGCCCAGAACTGGTGGAGATCAAGGGCTTTTCATAAATGACTTTGGTTTGCTCCTAGAGGCAGAACCCCAGTTCACTATTATTGGAAGATGGAAGATGATGGATAGAAGGATGGATGGATGGATGGATGGATGGATGGATGGATGGATGAGATGGATGGATGAATGGAAGAACAGATGGGTGGGTGGGTGGGTGGGTTGGTGGATGAATGGATGGATGGATAGATGGATCAATGGGTGGGTGGATGGATGGATGGATGGATGGATGGATGGATGAGATGGATGATGGATGAATGGAATGACAGATGGGTGAGTGGGTTGGTGGATGAATGGATGGATGGATAGATGGATCAATGGGTGGGTGGATGGATCGACGGATGGATGGATGGATGGATGGATGGATGGATGGATGGATGGATGGATGGATGGATCAATGGATGGATGGATAGATGGATGGATCGATGTATAGATGGATCAACATATAGATGGATCAATGGATGGGTGGATGGGATAGATGGATGGGTGGATGGATGGATAGATGGGTGGGGGTGGGTGGGTCAGTGGGATGGAGGAATGGGTAAGCGAATGGCTGGGTGGATGAATGGAAAATCCTGACATCTTTGAACAAACACTTCTGTGACCTGAGGACAGTCTGGAGATGCAATGGCAAAACCAAACACATTTCACCCTCACGGTGATGTCAAGAGGCAGCAAGAAAGCCTTAGGAAAGAAGCTGCCACTGGCCACCGTGAAAACTGTTTCTCCTCCTAGGTTTGGTCGACACTCCCACGACGAGCTCTCCATCCTTTCGCCACTCTCGCAGTGCTGCAGGTAAGCTAGGGGTTGGGGTCAAGGATGGGTCACACTTGGGACACATCATCCTGCCAACTAAGCTCTCACTGGGAGACAGGACCTAGTGCTACTCCAGGATGCTCCCAGGAAGATGTAACCATCTGCAGCACAGTGAATTACAGTCACCTTGGAAACCTTCCAATTGCCAGCTTGAACCTTTCATTCACCCACTTTTGCAGAGCCTGAGTCTTTGATATAACTCATCAGACCTCTGCTTCAACTGACATACAAAAGCTCATAAATATTACGAGTTGCTCATCCTTTCAGCAACAAAGTTAAGTCCCCATAAACTCTCATCAGCTGCAGAAGAAGTACTAAGACCTTTGCCTGGCCACCATTTCTCAGAAGAATCTCAAACCTAATGCCATACACTACCAGTCTTCTGGCCAGACTTGACCCACTGCCCACTGGTGATGCCCAGAATCAACTAGACATGTTGTTCAGATGCTGAAAACAAAACCTTATTTTCAGCTGGAAAACCTGAGCAGAGCATAAGTTGTCTTTCACCCACTTCCTGGTTGACTTCCATGGGAAGGGGGGTGGGGGCGCAGGGGAGAGAGGAAGGGAGGAGGAGGAGGAGGAGGAGGATTATTGTGACAAAAACCAGGCAATTAGGCTGGAGTGATAGCACAGCGGGTAGAGTGTTTGCTTTGCATGCAGCCAACCCGGGTTTGATCTTCAGCATCCCATAGGTCCCCTGAGCACTGCCAGGAGTAATTCCTGAGAGCAGAGCCAGGAGTAACCCCTGAGCATTGCTGGGTGTGACCCAAAAAGAAAAAAGATGAATTTAAAAAAAAAAACAGGCAGTTAATCTAGTCCAAATCAGACTCCCACTTAAAGAGAAATCAAAATTCCCAAGTCGATTAGCCCACCCCAGTCTCCCACTCTGGCTTTAGAATCTGTCAGAGAAATGATCATCAAGTTGACAAGAATCAAGCCAGAGGCTGACAGTATGCAGAGCCAGAGCCCAGCATGCAGCATCATTTCACCAACTAGAAATGTCTCAGCAGCTTTCTATCTCCTGGGAAGGCCCTTGGGTCGCCCCTGTTCTGTCTGCCAGGGCTCCGTCAGAGGAAATGCATGCGGGCTGGGCCGGGCTTGGTACAGGGCGTTTGAATGACGTGGATCTGCAAGCCCCTGATCCCAAGGCAAGCAGGCAAATGGATGACAAATCCTAGGGCGGCCTGACAATTCCCCTGGGAGGTGCCATAGCTAGGTCTCAGAACCTGGGCTTCCATTGGCCTCTGCCACGCGTTCAGGCCGGTTATGGCCTTTCGTTGTGTCAACCTGCTTCCTTAACGTTGTCCTTCCAGAATAAAGAAGAAGACACTGCAGCATCTAAGGCTGCTGTCCCAGGACGACTACCGGCTGAGCGATGTGATGCGGGAGTCCCTGCTGCAGGATCCGCTCAGCCCCGTCCTCACGGAGCCCCACCTGCTGGCCCTGGACCGCAGGCTCCAGATCATCCTCAAGACAGTGGACGGCTGTGTGGAGGACCACGGGGAACAGTGGGTCCTGGCCGACGACCCCGCAGAACAGTCGACCCCGGACATGACCAGCTAGGGGGGGCCGTGGCCCGTTTCAGCATGGAGCCAAGAGAAAGCGTGAGGGCACTCACGTGGCTTCCTCGCGACCATCTCTCCCCGATGGACGCTGGAAGCCAAGTCCTGAGCTCAGGACGCAGGTATGGCCCTGGAATTCTCTAACAGAGAAGCAGGAACCACTCTCCTCTTTGTCCTGTGGCACCCCTCCTTCTCCAGTGGACAGCCTTGGTGGCCTTCTCCCAGAAAGCAATGGCATCCTCCAGGCCACAGACATCCTAGGAACTCAATACAAGTCGGCTTGGGAGGTCTGGAAGCCCCCGGCCCCGGGAGGAGTATTAACTGTAACAATAAAAGGGCAGCGAGTGGAACCTGAACTGGCCTTGAGATTCGTACTTTCTCCCTCTGAGAGGGATTCCCAATCCAGACAAAACTTGGAGACCCTCAAACCGAGTCCCAGCCACTTTCACCTTTTCTTCTCCTGACACGAGATTTCAATCCCAAGATTGAAACTCAGGAAACCCTCAAACCGGGTCCCAACCATTTTCACCTTTTCTTCTCCTGAGACGAGGCCCTGAGGACTGTGTGAAAAGTCACCTCCGCCAGCCAGCCTCCGTTTCTCAGTAATATTAACACAGGAGGTAAAGGTAAAGGCCCTCCGGTTGATCGTCGATTTGCTCGAGCGGGCCCAGTAACGTCTCCATTGGAGACTTTGTTGTTACTGTGTCTGGCATATCGGATACTCTCGGTAGCTTGCCGGGCTCTCCGAGAGGGGCGGAGGAATCGAACTCGGGTCGGCCATGTTGGCCACTTGTAAGGCGAGCGCCCTACCGCTGTGCTATCGCTCCAGCCCTTTACCTTACCTTTTATTAACACAGGAGGGCCTTTACCTTTACCTTACCTTTTATTAACACAGGAGGTTCCAGGAAACAAGATGGTCCCAAACAGAACCTTCATATCTGCCTATCTTAAGGTTAAGATCCCATCGTGGACACTCACTTTAGCATCCAGAAAGAGAACTTGGAGGAAAGGAAAGGAAGGGTGGTCTCGAAGGTGGGACAGCTTGGAGGGAGCAAGCAGATGAGGGGCCAGGACCAAGACCCTCAGGGTATCCCATCAGACCCAAGGGTGTCCCCAGGGGCCCCAAGGAACAGGGAACTGACAAAGCAGACTCTAGCCTGGCTCTGTCCCTAGCTGCTAGCTCAGAGCATCTGTCTCTGTCTCAGAAGACTTGTGTGCTGTGTCCCCTCCTTTCACAGTGGGAGGCCCCCTGTACACCTTTCAGCGCATCACCCCCTGCTGTGAGCTGAAACCCTTTTATGGGGGCAGCCTTTCTTACTCTACTGTGACTGCAAACAGAACAGTCACCCTCTGGCACAGTCAGACAACCAATGGGGGAATGTGTCTGACTCGGACAAAGGCGAGGGCCCGGAGCCAGAGAATGAACACAGAGCAGAGGACAAGCACCGGGCCATGCAGGCATACCTCTGGGGCCCAACCCCTCCCACCACCTGCCCCCACAAACACCTCCAGGGGTCACTTCTATGCAGTCCCCCTGAGCAGTCTAGGTCTGGCCCAAATCCTCCCTAACCCCCACCCCAAGAAGAGGGGCTCAGAACCTTGGAGGGCAGTGGCTGACCCCAAGCGGGGACAAGGTCGAGAACTGAAGAAGTCATTCCCAGATTCTGCCACCTGTGCAGCGGCAGCCCCCAGGGTATTTCTTAAGACTCACCAAGACCACTCTCCTCCTCCCGTTTCAGAACCCAGCCGGGTCTCTGCCCCCCAGCCCACCCTCACCCCCCACACACAGCCAAGGCGGAGATCCACAGGACCCCCGCGGCAGCCTAGTCCAAAGGGCTTTTTTTCGCTGGAACACAAAAAACCCAACAGGATTTCAGCCGGTTTTTTGAAGTTTTATTTATGCGCTTTAAAAATTAAAAAAATAATCATAATAAAAAGATGGGCTCTTCAACCGAGGAGCCTGAACCTAAAGGCTTCTGGTTCTGAGGGGATGCTGCAGCAGCTCAGGTCAGGATCTCCTTTCGGAGGAGAGATGGGGTAATTACACCTAGAATGGAAAGACAAACATTCAGGCAAAGACCAAGGACACACTGCAGCACCTCAGAGAAAAGTCAAACCCAGTGTCTGCAAGACTGCCCTCCCTGCCACACAGGGGGGTGCCTGTTACACACTGAGCACAGACAGAATGGGGATGGGGACACAGAGAGCAAATCAATTCTCTTAAACACTCCATCCTTTCCCCGCTAACACTGTCATCACCATCACTGGTCAAGATGGCAAAAAAAGGCAAAATTTCACTTTTAGTACTCTGAGTCATCAAATTCTTCCAACCATGCTCATCTTGGACTCTGTGTGATTTTCCTTGACATCCAAATTCGCATCTCTAGGGCCAGGGAGATGGTTTGAATAGTAGCACACGTGCCAGGCCTGAGCACATATGGCTTGAGTTTAATCCTTTAGACCCAAAAGCCAACACTTCCGACCCCACCAGATGCAGCCCTGGTGTCCCCCAAGCAACAGACCATCAGGTCTACACTGCCGGAGAAGAGTGAGCCCTGTAAGAAAAGTTCTTAGATGGTTCAAAGGACCTAAGAGCGCAAGTATTGCACACAGGAGTAGACATCTAGGTTCGATCCCCAGCACCCTGGCACCAAGCTGTGTGATCCCAAAGCCAAAACAATTGTCTTCATGTAAACATTTCCATTACTACTGAGAGCTAATCTGTTCCGTTTCTGAGTGGGCAGTGGGAGAAAGGAGTTTTGGAGGAATTCAGCTTAACCTTCCTCAAACTCTGGGGGACAATTTGAGTTTGAAATCAAAATGGACTGCAGTTAATTCTCTTATTCACGTAACTTTTATGGTCTCTGAAGTCCCTACAAATCTACAGACATGGAACCATCTGCTCTCAGAGGAGAAAGTGGCTTTATTTGGTTGATTCATTAACATTAATCTCAGGGCCAACAATATCCTAACGTGAGTCAGGAAGAAGCTATTCACTATTCTTATATTCTCTGCAAGGCACACCACAGCTTTCTTATCCTTAGCATTATGCTATTAAGTTCTATTTTCAACTGTGAGATCATGAACAGAAAGCTCAAGTATGCAAAAAAGTGACACTAAACATCTGATTCAAAGGACAACCAAGGCAAAAAGGCAGAGTGTCGTTTCACTGGACCCAGACTGGGTACAAACCGCTTCTGTCCGTTCCCATCTGGGCATATCCAGCACCAGGCAAGAGCTCGGAGGACTGATTCAGGGGTCTAGAGTGAGAAAATCCCCAAATTTTACAAATTAGCATGAACAAGTTATCAAGATCACAAGGCTAACAGAGTGAAAGTGACAAAGATGGATTTAAAAAACAAGTCTCCACCTAGTGGTAACTTCTAGTCAAAAAGCTCATTAAGCTTTCTTGTCCAAACGCAGATAAAATGAAAAAATAACTCATTAGCGGTACTGGTTTTAGGCAGAATCAGGATGAAATCACAGCTTTGAATTCATACCAAGAAACAAATGTTAAGCTCAATACATGCACAATATAGAGCTCCATGTTTAAAAAAAAAAAAACAAGGGTCAAATGCGAGAGATTTAATAAGCAATCTCACATTAAATGACTTCTTCTGGTTTGAGCCCATCTAGAGACACACCGCCAGTGCTTAAAATAACTACTCAAAAGGATTCATTTGGCTCTTAAGAGTCTGAACATAAACTAGACATAGAACGATACAAAGCCAACTGACATCAGGGTGCAGAGAGCGCGCGCAACAGACTTTCACATCCAGGTGTTATAACTGGGAACAACCCCCAGCACTGCCAGGTGTGGTCCCCAAACAAAAAACAAATAAACCAAGGCCTGACATGGTAGTACTTCAACATTGAAATGTTGGTATTTAAGTCAATGAAAAAGCAAAGAAGTGCTTCTAGGAGAACCAATACTTTAAAGGGGAGAGTTTAATTCTCACCCAGAGGTTCCAGGAACTTACTTGGCCTACAGCCCTCTTCGTTCAGAAAACAATTTCATTCACCAAGCTCCCCTACCAGGATTATTCCTGCATCCCACTGCATCCTGCCCCCTGTCCCTTCCCCCCTCCCCCCTCCCCCCCTGAAACTAACAGCCAACACATAACAGTTTTCTTTAGTTTAATCTATTGACTTGAAGGGTTCCAACTTCAGCAGGGTTCAAGAGGACTGTTGAATCTGGACAAGGTGCACATGGTATAACACAGGACAGATTAAAGAAAGTTCTAGAGTACAATCTATTTTTTTAATGTCATTGGAAGTAAACAAATACCATCATATTAATGATTCTGTCGTAATCACCTCAATTCTCAAAAATCATCTGAGTATAAGAAACACTTTGTACATATGCAAAATCTATGAGCATACCTAAACACTGAAGTACACATACTAAATTTAAATCAGAGAGAAGGCTAATCCAGAAATGACGTTCCCCGTTAAGTCTGGAAAAGTCCAAGGCCGGAGAACAGTCTACTCAGTAAAGAAAATTTTTGGCTTCTCATTTGATCTTTTCCTTCCATTATCCAGTAAACAGATCTGCTACATTTCAATTGCCCTTTGAGGGAAGTATTCGGGTTATTCCTCAAAATACTGAATTGGAAAACACATGTATTATTCTTTTAAAACTGACTCCATAATTCACTTTGATTTTCATTCTTACCCACCAGGCTAGGAGATTCCAGGGGAACAGGAAGAGAGAAGAGCAGGAAAGGAAAAAGGGAAGAAAAACTGATTCACTGAAGAACTTAAATTAATTTTTCTTTTTATTAGTTGACCTACCATTAAGACAATCTATAACAAAAAGAAGAGAATATATTAGCACACACAGTATAATCAGACTAGTAACCAGGAAACAATACAAAATGGTCCTTTGGCCATCTATACCTCCTAAAGCAACAGGTCTCATAAAATCAACATACCAAGCCCAAAATTAATGACTTCTAAAGCTCTGGATATCAAATAAAACAAATTATACCAATCGTAATTTCTCACATACTCAGATTGCACAAAGATAAAGCTTTAAATGTGATAATTTGTCAATTTAGACTGAAAATTTCTTAGAAACGACAAAAGGGAGTAAACAGCAAGTCAAATGGTTTAAGAGCAAAACTCATCTCGAAAGCATTATATGTACCTAAATATACAAGAACATGATTATGTACATATGTGAAATTGTGCAAATTTATGGCATTCTAAGTAACTCATTTCAGTACAGTTTTGGCATTTAAACAAATATCAAATTAAGCTTTAAGCTAATAAGAATATAATTTTTACTTTAAATATAAAAAGGTAGCTAAACACAATGATTAAGTACAGATCAGAAAACCCTCATTTAATAATTTTGAATATTAAAAATTTATAAGGTGACTTTCTATCTCACATTAAAATGTAAGACTCCTCTCCCAGATTTATACTCCAAACTTAGTCACAACCAAAAAAAAAAATTCAAATCTATGGGAAAGAAAGCTACCATGACTAATTAATTTACCTGGGAAAGGGCAGAAAAGGATTAGTAATCAAAGCCAGTTGCACAAAAAATGGAAAAATGCTTGCAGTCACTCCCAAATATAACCCTATGTTATATATAAATCACAATGAAAATAAAAGTGCCTACATTACAGAACTGTGAAAGATTGTTTAAAAAAATAACAATAAAAAGTTAACCATTAGGTATCATTGGTGCACATGGAATAATGTAACACATAAAGGTTGATAAGGCTGGAAATACTGAAAAACAGTTAAGACTCGAAAGACAAGCTGACGATTAAAAAAAAAAAAGTTTGACAAAGAGGTTAGATAGAAAAACAGAGCTTTTCAGCAGGATGGCCTTTTAGGTCAATTTGATACAACGCAGACACATACCCCCAACCCCGCCCCCCCCCCATCCCCTAAAGTCCTGGCGATGTAAAGAGGAGGAAATAGGTTCAAGCAAAGAATTTCTTCCCAAATCTCACACCCCAACAAGTAGGGCAGAGTTCCCAACACTGAGCTCCAAGTGCACCTGCCCCTTTCTTCCCTGCAGCAAGACCACAGCTCCCTTCTTCTGTGTGATGTTCATTCAGGCCATCGGGGCGGGCTATTCCCAGCATATCTGATCCCCTGGGACCAGTGTGTCACCAGCAAAAGGGTCCCCTGGAGTTAACTGAAGCTGGCCATGACCCAAAGGCTCTAAGTTAACCATCTGGAGTTGCAGACCTCAAGTTCTTATTCTCGGTTCAGCATCTGATCATCAGTATTTGGCACTAGCTGGATCAATGAAGGTCTAATCAGAATTTGTGAGCTGAGGCAGGTGTAGTTAAATCAGAACCCAATCTATGATTTGGTTTCAAACTCAAAACAGCACACATAGGTAAGACAGCCCACTCCTAAACCTACTTCAAAATCGGAGCAAAAAACAACACCAGGCAAATTAACTTGACAACAATGTAGATTCTGGTTAAAGAGAGGGAAGAACAAAACAAAAACAGCGTATCTGTCTAGAAATCAGCCAAAAAACGTGCATCTTTCCACCCTTACTCGAGATTAAATACAGGCAGATGTCTTCCTACTACTAAGATTCTTCTATATCCGTTTTTCCTTATAGCTCAATGAGAAATCATTTAATCTATAAGAAACACAGCATCGATGGCCACCGTCTAAACTATGCATGTAACTGGAAAAATGGTGTCACTTAAAAATATCACTGATGCACTGTTACATCATCACTCAACAGTAATTCATTTGGTGCAGGCAGGTGCCTGCGCCACACAGCCTGGCACGCTCTGCCGAGAGGACACTAACACTGCACAAAGAGAAGCAGGGACAGCCAAGTCTCCAGAGAACTCTTTCTATTTATTTAACTGTGTGTGTGAGCACTCGGCGAATGCTCCAAATTAAAAATGGTGCGAGAAAAGCAACTTTTTAATAGAAACCGACGAGAAGCTGCGGTGCCAGAGGTGGCGTGGCGCGCCGAGAGGGGGAGAAAGCGGAGTGCAGGGGCAGGGCAGGGCAGAGGCACAGGAGGCAGAGTTCAGACAGACAGAGACACGAAACTGTTGTACTGCTGGATGTTCCGCTTAAGGATGTCGGAGCAAGGGCCGAGCACACGCTCGAATCTTGGTCGGTCCAGCTTCACGCACTTCAGCGGGCCCCGCGCCACCACCGTAGCTGCCCGAGGACGGTTCATCAGCAGAGCGATCTCACCTAGGAGGGAGAGGCGCAGGCTGTGAGAGTGGGTCACGGGCCCTGGGGAGGGTGCCTGTCCCCTCCCCACTCGACAACTGCAGCCATACTCTCCAAAGCACCCCCCTGGCTATCTCAACAAAGTCCAGGTTAATGGCTGGCAGTTTCTCTAAGAGCCCTGGAGACTGACTGGAATTAAATAAAAAGCAGAAAACCAACTTCGGAATGTTGGGCAGGATTCTGTTAGACTCCATGATATGAGGGGTGCCAGCAGTAAACCGCCGCAGCAATGCACGTACCAAAGTAATCCGAAGGCCCCAATCTTCCCACTTCCACAAACTCTTCATTTTCTGACCGACGCTGAAGCACAGCCGCGGAGCCCTGAAACAAGACCGCCAAGAGTCAAACAGATCAAGTCCCCCGCAGCACCGAAAACATCCTATGCGTGTTTACGTACTCACAAACCAAAGAAACACAAGGCCATGACTTCGAATCTTCCCTAGCAGTATGATGGAAACAACAGGGAAAGATCTCTGCGATCATGATTCGTTAACCCAGCAGCCTGAACACCGAGCCCAGGGCTGTGACATGTTCAGACTCAGGTGAGCAAACTACAGCCGTATGACCAAATCCAAGTGCTCTGCTTGTTTGGTTTGTCTTTTTTTGAAATAGTTTTGTTATTGTTGTTGTTTTGGGCCACAGCCAGCAATGCTCAGGGGTTACTACTTCTGGCTCTGCACTCAGGAATTACTCTTGGTGTGCTCAGGGGACCATATGGGATGCCGGGAATCGAACCCGGGTTGGCCGCATGCAAGGCAAAAGCCCTACCACGGTGCACTCTCACTGGGGCCCCCAAATAGACTTTTTTCAGGAATCATACACTTAAGTCACTTCCAGACCACACATGACTCCTACTGCACGGACAGAGAGTTTTCGACAAAAACCTGATGGCTCACAGACCTAACTCACTCAACATTTGGCCCCCAGTCTAATCATTCATTTGACCCCTGGTTTAAATAAAAACAGAGCGCATCAGAGCCATTCACAGAAAACCTGTGTTGGGAGCTGCAAGGCAGGCAAAAGCATCTAACTTGTTAAAAGAGTACCTGTGAGACTTAGAAGGCAGAATCATAACCTTTGGTCTTAGTTTGTCCAGTAACCCAAATACATGACTTGAAAAGGATGATCTAAAACTATCACACTTTGTTAACACTGTTGAATTTTGTTTGATTTGCATGGTAATAAAGACGGATGTGATTAGTCAGAATTGGGCTATGAGTTAGTGAATAACCCTTGCAAAATTCTGACCCTAATTCACTGAAAGTGGTGTGGCCAGGCAGAAAACCAAAGAATAGCATTTCAACATAATGGTTTTTAAATAAAACAATGAAGTACTCATAAAAGACGGAAGCTATAGGTTGAAATCAGCCCTCTTAGATGCCCTTACAGTACACAACTCTTTATAAAGACTCAAGTGCCGTGCTCTTTACCTCTAAAATAATAAAGAACTCATCCCCTGGTTCTCCCTGAACCACGATCTTCTGCCCATCTTCAAACTGGACAGGTTCCAAAGCATCGGCCACCGTGAGGCGCTCCCACTTATCCAGAGATTCTGAAAGAATCAGAAGAGACATTTCTCTGCATCATTTGAAATTGCAAAAAGCTTCAGAACACAAACTATAGAGATTCACCCAATAGCTAAATCCACTCAATTTCCTATAGTGTCTTAGATACAACATGGCACACCTGTGCTCCATTCTCTTCCCTAAAGACTCCTCTCATATCCCCCATTTCAATAGCCCACTCACCAGGTTAAATAAACCAACTGTACCCAATGGCAAAGGAATTTTTAAAAATGTGACCCTTTAGTCCTAGAAACTACCATCAGTGTAAATTAAACCCACCAGATTAAAGGACCGAAAGCCAGTGTCACCATTCATATGATTCTAAAGGTTCAGAGCAATATCTTAACAATTTAAGTCCTCAGTTGAATTTATTTATGGAATGAAGAATGAGAAAAAAAAAAAAACTTGTTCTCAAAGGCCAGTATAACCTTCTGAAACTCACTATTTCCCTTCCCAAGGAAAAGCAAGCTATAACCAAATTACTACGTCCACATGCAACCCATAGAACTATCTCCCGTTAGCCTGCTTTACTCTAAGAACGCCTACTGTGTCATCTTCACGAAGACAGCAAAGTCCTATCTATACACACAGAAAATGTGTTCCTGCAAACACTCATTTTCCTGAATCCATGAAATCATGACTGAGCAACACGGACATCAAAGAGGAAGTAACAATGACCTCAGCCAGTACAGCGCTTTGCGCCTTCCTGTTCTCTCCAAAAATGAGGCTGCATAGATCTAGAAAGCTTTTTCCAGCCCCCATCATTTCTAATTAAGAGGCTCATCATAGAAGTGGCAAATTCAACAGACTTGAAAAGAAATCCTCAGCCCCACTCCAATTCCAGCAAATACAAATCCCATAAGCTTTTTGTTATTACCTATAAACCCTGAAGTAGTTCTAATGAAATACAGTAAGTTCTGCTGGAAGATTAGCACTTTAGCATGTGATAATTATCCACGTATCTTCCAAAACTCACCTAAAATGGACACCTTACTGAGGAACTCCTCGTACATCTTCCGCTTTCTCAGTGTGCTTCCCTAGAAATAGAAAGGTAATGAAGTCACATCTCCAAAATGTGCATCACATAATGCTGTGCAAGAGTAAATACAGAAGCATAAATATTTTCAGAAAGCTGGGGGGTGGGGGGTGGACGTGCTGTGTGGTGCACGACTAGTATTCTTGTTGGAATGGCCCCTCTGCTGAGCTCAACAAAATACTCTTGGTAAACTGGGCCTAAAAAGACCAGTTACAAACTGTGGCTGAGGGAGGTTCCTAACACCACCAAGTGAAATGCCAATTAGCAAGTAATCTACCCAAAAGGCAGGGGGGAGAGAGGGAACCCAGCAATACCAGGCAGGTGGGGAGAGAATTACAGGATTTAAATCCCAAGGACCAGCACAGCCTCAGGACCTAACAGTGAGCACCAGGAGTGGACCCTGAGTCCCCTGAGCATTGGCAGGGTCCCCCACCACCACCCACCTCCCCCACAAAAAAACAAGCAATATATGCAACTATAACTAAATATACTTCCAGCCCACAGTGCTTCTCCACAAATCAATCCACTCTGGGGGATACGCACCCACAAACACACAGCTACTGTAGACAGAAAACAAAAACAAAAAAGTGCCCTAGAGGCCCCAAATCAAGGTGTCATAGCTACAACGTTTGTAAGATATAGCTGGGGAAAGAGATGAAAACACACGGGCCTCTTTGATAACTAATCCTTACAAATTACCTTAGTAATTTATAAACTTTTGAATACAGGAAATTTTCAAAATTACAAAAGACCACATACTATATGAGTCAGACAAACTGCAAAACCTGATGGAGACAAATCCCAAATTACAAATGGCATTAGTGGAGAATTGTGTCAAAGGTGGGAACTCTGAACTTGTTAGAAAGTTCTCCAAGTCTACTTACTATCAGAATGTCCCCATGGTTCTATTATTTTGAGAACAAAGAGGCAGTATGTCATCTGCACTGCTGATAGCACCTTCCTGTGAAAAATGCTGACTGCTTCTGACCAGCCTAGAACAACTTTCCGTATCAGCAGTAATGTGTACAGATGAGGTAAATGAAGACTAACAGCAAATGGAGAAATTCCCAAACATGAGCTAACCATCACAGCTACTCAAAATTCCATGTGCTATTTTTGACCATTTTTGCTCTAAGGGATGTGTCTCAAACAATAGGATGTATGAGGCCAAACTGGGCCTTAATGCAAAGTAATTCAGAATATTCTCATTTTAACTTTGTATTAGTGTGCATTCACTGTTGCTTACACAGATGAACTCTAAACCACACTCCAAAAACCCATGGACTCTTACCATGAGGATTCTTCTATAGCTGTCTCGGTCAATTCCCCACAATTTCACGTTTGTCTTTGCCTTGACAGTGGCAGCTCGAGGTGTTCCATAAATCAAAGCGAGTTCTCCAAAGCTCCCTCCTTCCCCAACGCTGGTTGCCCACTCATTGTTGACGTAGACCTAGAATGCAATGAGAGCAAAGAATTGGTTCCCAGCACACAAACCCAAGCATGTACACCCCTTCACACGTGGACACTAGCACACAATTTATAACAAACCAAACTCACGTATGAGCCACCATCAGTACAGACTAGCATCAACAAATTATGCCTTTTTATGGAGTCAGAATTCTAAACCATGTTTTCAAACAGAATATACTAGATTTTCAGTATACAGCAGAGCTGAACGGTTGACTTCCAGTAAATGAACAAGATTGGTGCATCCAGGCCTAGGACTCTCTGGACAGGGTGTTCAGGGCTCAAAGCAGAAGCACCATCAGCATTCACCAAGAACTGTGCTGCGCACTGTGGGAAGAGTTTCTGGGCCACTACTACTCCAGCTGGGTTTAAAATGCCTGTGCTAACTTCAAATCACAACTGGGCCAGAAAGACAGCTAAGATTTTGCATCATTAATACAGGTGGTGGGCAAAGCCAGAAGGAGAATGACAAATGAAACATAATCACCCATCCGTGGGATAAAGAAGAAATCAATCAAGGGTCTGGAGAGAACCAATCCATAAAGAACCTTGGACACTGTAATAGAGAACTGGAGCGTCAGGCTTGAGGGAGGGGAGGGGGAGGAGTAAAGTGGCCAGAGGCAACACAGGAACAGGAGTAGAGGGGCTCAAGCACACAGCGGTGCTAAGGGAGCTAACTGTGCACAAAACCTACAGCTGTGAATCAACAAATAATGGGGGACAGGTAGGAGACAGAAGGAACGTCAGACTAGTGGTGACCTAGAAATGGACAATGAGCCAGGGTCCCGGACACTTCGGAGGTATGGTGGGGAGGGGAGCTATGCAGTAACTGTACATACAGCAGTATTAGAAACTTCAACTCTACCACTGTGGTAGGCCGGTGACCTAAACTAGAACCCATTTTTCTGGCAAAGGTTGATCAAATTTGATTGAAATGGGCTTGCACGTCAAGCCCAGGTTCTCCCCTGCACATGGATCTCACTGTCTATTTGCTGGTCTATTTCCACGATGGAGATGCCAGTGTTTGCTCTCAAACAAGTCCTTCTCCCTCTCTCTCCTCACATCTTTCTAAAAAAGTTTCAACAACAAAAAGTTTCCTGGTTCTCAGCAGCAGGGCGTTTGCCTTGCGCGCAGCCAGCCCAGCCAAGCCAGGTTCAATTCCTCCGCCCCTCTCGGAGAGCCCAGCAAGCTACCTAGAGTATCTCGCCCGCACGGCAAAGCCTGGCAAGCTACCCGTGATGTATTCAATATGCCAAACACAGTAACAAGTCTCAAAATGCAGACGTTACTAGGCCCGCTCGAGCAAATCGATGAACAATGGGAGGACAGTGCTACAGTGCTACATACACACACATATGGACTTAAATGCTCTATAATGGTCCTTAAACTCTTAGAAATTCTATCAACACATTAACTTTTAAGATTATCAATATGTCTGCTATTATTCTTACATCCATCTCTCCTTGGTCAATCACATAGAAGTTATCCCCTTCATCACCTAAGAGAGTAAAAAAAGACATTAAAATTAAAGAAACACAACCCATCTAATTAACGTGTAGTAATTAACTTACAGTAATGCTATAAGAGGAAGAATTGTTAGCAATTAACACAGTTTTCCAGGAAACATCTATGCCTTAAGAGTTTAATTTTTATTTCTGGTTTCCCACATTTCTTGGCAAGTCTCGGCCCATGGGGTCCGTGGTTCAATGTGAGGATGGGGAGCTCCTAAATCATTCGGTGCCAGGGATCACTCAAGCCACCTACCAGTGCTCAGGGGCTACTCCAGAGCCACACACAATGATGGATCAAGGAACTGTATCGTACCAGGGATCAAATTGGCATCTGCACCATGCAAAACATGCCCCTTAATCCCTAGGGTGTGCCAAGAATGAAACCCAGGTCAGCCATGTGCAAAGCAAGTGTCTTGCTGACTGATATATCCATCCAAACCTCAACATCTGTACTTTAAAGGTCCTACAACTGATTGATTTCTTTTAAAACACTATTGAAAAAAAAACTTAATAAGGGGGAGGTAAAGGGAAATCTTAAAAATTTCTTACCACAGAATTGGGTAACAAGATAGATCAATGTGGACAAAGAAATTAAAAAATCAGTGGAAGGCACAAAACGTTATAAATGCATAATATAATGGAATGATTTATTCCCCACTTTAAAAGTAAGAAATAGGGACTAGGTGGAGTTCATACCCAATTCAATCAGCTAATCAGTGGCTGAATGAACAGCAGTACTCCTACATAAGAAAGAAAGAAAGAAAGAAAGAAAGAAAGAAAGAAAGAAAGAGGGTAGGGCAGTTGCCTTGTACTCAGCTGACCCGGATTCGATAACCAGGCATAGCATATGGTCCCTGAGCACTGGCAAGAGTAATCCCTGAGTGCAGAGCCAGGAGTAAGACCTGAGCATCACAGGGTGTGACCCAAAAAGAAAAACTGAAAGTAGGAAATTCCAATACCAATCAGTAAAAAGGGTCTGTGAGGACTGAAGAGAGCCCCATAAGCTTAGCACATATATGCTTTGCAGGTATGAGGCCCAGTTTAATCTCTAGCATTGCATGATCCCCTGAGGACTACTGGGTATGGCCCAAAAATCAAAATAAACAAACCAAAAAGTAAGATCTATATGGTTTTAAAACTTATGTCACGGTCACGGTCCTTCCATTGTTCATCGATTTGCTCGAGCGAGCCCAGTAACGTCTCCATTGTGACACTTGTTACTGTGTTTGGCATATCGAATACGTCACGGGGAGCTTGCCAGGCCCTGCCGTGCGGGCGAGATACTCTCGGTAGCTTGCCGGGCTCTCCGAGAGGGGCGGAGGAATCAAACTCGGGTCGGCCATGTTGGCTGCGTGCAAGGCAAACACCCTACCGCATTTAAAATGCATGAATTTCCTTTAACAGAGCACAGAAAAATGTTAGTCCTTCAGGTAAAGTTCACATTTTAGCTCAGAAGACTTTAATTTTTTTAATGAAACAAAAAAGTATATATAACAGAAAGAAAACGAGCTTCAATTGAAAACTCCTAGTCTCATCCCTTGAGTTGACTTCGCATGCACCTAAGCAGCAGCCCTTACCTTGCTGGATAACTGTCTCCCCAGCGATAAAGGAAACTGGAAACATGGCATCAAAGATGTCACTGAAAGAGAGATGCCTCGTGTTACTGCAGGTGCCTCTTCTGTGGATTCCAAACATTACCCTTAGAATTAAAGCTCCCGGGTCTTCAGCTGGGGCTGTTATCAGATAAAAGTGACTTATCCTTAACACCCTTAAGATGTACAACAATAAGACTAGTTTGGCACCACAGCTGTACTAAAACCAAAACAAAAGTCTAGTTCCTACCTTCTCTCGTTATCATCTAGGTGTGAGAACAGCACATTCTTCTCAATGGCTTTGGCTAGAGCAGCCATTGTCTTGTAATCTTTGGGTATAACCTAGAAAAGAAGAATGCATGGTAACTCATAAACCAAAAACACTGCGTTTTCAGAAGCTGCATTTCAATTCAACGTAGCATTTAAACGAGTCTGCTTTGAGTTCAATATTTTTTACACAACACAAAATGTACATTCTTCAATTCACAAAGTACTCGACACACAGGGGCTAATTAAGCTTCCTGCCTACACAGCCAGGATGGTACTGAAAGGCTCATCTTTGGTTCCCAAAGAAACGAACCAAAAACATCTTAATCAAGGTAATTGCTGATGGAAAACCAGCCCATTTTATGACATTTTTTAACACTGATCAAGAACAGTGAGAGTTTCGTAAGCCTCTTGCCAGGACCATTCTGTTCCTCCTCAAGGCTAAGGGCAGTACCTGACACAGCAAGCCAGCTCTAAGGATGGGCACATGAAGATGAGTCACAGTTACTGGATAAAGGTCTAAAAGCCACAACATGAAGTACGTGGCATTAAAGATTAACACCATACACGACCACCAGTTTCTATTGCAAAACGAGGGAAAGAAAATATACATCAACCCAATTATTGGGCACTGGTATTGAACAGTGCTAATTATGCAGTATTTTAGATTATTCCAGCGACGTGTTAAAGAAATCTGCTCCCCCTGTGCCCAGGAAATGTACAGAACAGAGTCCGCTCCATCCTGCTCTGCACCTTACATTTACTGTTCCAAGCAGCACATGCATTCATCAGAGCCTAGACTCCACCAAGCAGGTAGTGGAAATGTCTTGTTAACTGGGTATCGAGCTACCTTTCGAACATAAGATGCTGCGTCTTCCTCCGTGTACACTTCAGCACTGATTGCCCCACGTCGCCTCCGGCCCTTCACCACAGGGTTTGGGGGAGGAGGAGAGATTTCGTCCTCCCTCGAGTCAGCCCGGGAGCCTGCTTTCTGCAGATTCTGAATCTGTTTTGCTTCCTCCTGAAAGCAATCACAGGTGCATAAAATGAAATCCTTCCACATACAGTTGCTGGGCCCCACGAGGGCCCTGAGCAATCACCTCAAGGCTCTTCCTCTGTAACCAGGAGTTAAGGGGGAAGGGCTAAATTCCAGCCAAGCCGAGTTCAGAAAGACATGGTCTGTTAAGGTCACACGGTTTCTCCAATGACCAACGATGCTGTACTTATTAATCAATGAAAGCTATTAGCATGAGGAGAAACGCTCTCAAGGAAAAATAAATAAATAAACCAGCTACACCAATAACAGCAATTTGTAATGACAGTAATAAGCTGCAGAACACAATCCTGGGAGTGCAGGTTCTTTATACGCAGCTGCAGGCTGAGCAAGACCTGCTACCCCAAAGATGCTCTCTACAAGGAGCAAGTGGGTCACAGCAGGGAAACAAGAAAATCTAGAGGACTGGAGTATTTCATTAGTTCAGCCAGCACTCTGCACTGGTTTTTAACTCTTGTGGTGCTGCAAACCGAACCGAGGGCATTACATGTGCACAGCAGGTGCTCCGCCAGCAAGCCACGTCCTGGTCCTACCAAGGATCTGAAGCTACAAGGTATAATGCAACAGAAGACCCCGGGTCCTAGCTGGCTCCTCTCAAATGGAAGAAACTAACAAATGGTGTGAGGGGTACCAAGAGTTTAAGTACAAGATAATAATTCTCCCTAAAGGGATAGAAGCTTTCTTTACCTACAAGGTTCACAACTGAAGGTAAAGCAAACAAATCCACCTACTTTTAAAACCCAACTCAAGGGCCAGAGCAATAGGACAATGGGCAGGGCAGTTGCCCTGCACGTGGCCAACCCAGGTTCGATCTCTAGGTTCGATCACTCCCCAATGAGCTCAGGGACCCTATAGGGTGCCAGGGATGGAACCTGGGTTGGCCACACGCTAGGCAAGAACCTTACTCCCTGTATTATCTCTCCAGCCCCTATAATCTTATTCCTATTAAAAACCTAGACAACTAAAAAGAAATTTAAGGAGCCAGAGAAACTAACAGCAGGAAGAATGCTCACCTTGCACACACCCAACACGGGTTCAATCCCCAACGTCCCAGATGGTCTCCCAAGCAAAGAGTAACTATTTAAGTCAGACCAAAGATTCTTTCATGTTCATTTGACTCTCTCCATTATTTTTCTACATACTCTCTCAAATTCTCTGACAGACTAGAGATAATACAGCAGTTACAACGTCTGCCTTCCATACAGGTGACCTGGGGAGATTCCAGTGCCAGGAATTCCCCCCAGGTCACCTGAAACATGGAAGACAGTTTAGGAGACACTCTTGAGCAAAGAGCCAGGTATAAACCCAAAATAAACAAAAATCAAACTCTAGGGCCTGAGAGAGCGCTCCAAGGGCTGGAACACAGATTCTGCACAAGGCGGGAGCCTCTGAGTTTAATCCCAGCAAAGTCCTCTCCAGTGCCACTGGAGTGCCGCCAGGGTTGGCTCATAAAACAAAAACCTACATTCCAAATAAACTGAGCATACTGTTTCAGAAAAAAGTTTTTGTTTTTTTTTTTCACACCATGCTCAGAGGACCCTGTGGTGTGCAACCAGCGTTGGCCTCTTGCCAGGTAAGCACATAAACCCCTGTACTCTCTCTCTAACCATAGGGAAAAAAAAACTGCAAGAGAAATTAAGATGCCTGTTTGGTCCCCTGATTGGTTCTTGGTCTTACTCTTTGCATCAAGACAAAATACAAAAACTATACATATGTAGAAAATCAATCTAGAATCAAATAATCAAGGAAATAATAGAATCAAATAATAGTTAGAATCAAATAATCTAATGTGCTATTCCCATTAGTAAAATCGTACCAGACTTTATGGTAACAATTTATTTTCATTTCTCTAGATATGAAAATTGTTAAGGAAGAAAAATACATCGAGAAAAACAATGAAAAGAAGTTCAGTTATTTTTACATAATTACAACTACACTGACTTCTTGATCCGATAATGCAAAAGCTCTACTTTCAAAATTATTCTATGGTGTGCACATGCGTGAAACGACATCTGCACAAATTTATTCACCGTAAATTCGTCTTAAAAATAAAACACTAAGGCTGGGGATGTTTCTCGGTCACTTAATTTCTTTTTATCTGCTACCTCTGTAAACTGGTGCTAATCCTCTATCTCACACATTTAAAGTAATGAATATGGGAGGCTGAATGTGCTTCACACAACACTGAGCACAGGAGAGATACTCAATGGTTGCAGCTATTAAACGTTCTCCGTTCTATGAGACTGACAAGGTTCTAATACGTATATTTACATGAAAGAGGTCTCAAATTCTAGATCCTCCAAATTCCAGTAGGCTGATCTCAAATGCAGTAGCTTTCCATGGGCCAAGTATGAATGGGGTTTTGGTGTTGAACAGTTAAAAGGGAACAGAAACATGAGGTTAACACTGGGAATGAGGGGGAGTGAATGTGTATATTTTCAGTTACAAAAACCTAACACCTAATGTATAGAATAATGATCTCCTGAAAAGTGAGAATCCAGTTACTTGAAAGTTCAGACATTTATATCTGATCCTGGCAAAAGCAATTTAATATATGTTAGCAGAGAGGCATGAATTACAAGAAAGTGTTAAGCTACAGGCAAAAGAAGCCAAAATACAATCCAAAATCCCCAACTGCAAAGAAATTAATCATAGTTTTTGCTTTTCTCCTTATTGCTTAAACAGTGCTATCTTAAGTACACCCTTTGCAACCAGCACAGGGAATTCAACACTCCCTAAAAAAAGACACACTCAATGTTCTCACCACCTTCATCCCCTCATTTGATGGTTTCTATTGATGTCCAAAAGGAAGAGGGATCACCTTACAGTGACCCATTTCAGAATCAGACCTCCAGGAACGCATTTATTTCAAAACAAGGAACGCCCACAGCAGTCTGGCTCTACAGTACTTCACTATGTGGAAATTGCTTAAGAGAAAATCAGACTCTATGACAATTCCAAGACAGCACTGCTCATCAACGGGTCTGCTGAGTCTAATCGACTGTTTTGAAATTGTTCTAATCAAGGTACAAAAACTTCAATTCGAATGTCTCTTCAAGGAGAGAGTGGAAATAGGAGAAAACAGCCAATCACAGAATCATCCAAACACTGTTTAAATCTTAACAGAAGATTATTTTAGCAGCAAATTGTCTTGAAGCAGCCCAAACCAATGGAAAACAGTACAAATATTTCTATTATGCAACTAATGATCCCATCTCTAAGAAGTGCTTCCATCATCGGTTCATAATCTTTATGAACCACATCAGAACTTACACATGCATTAAAATATCTGTAAATTTGTTTTTGCAAGCTTACGCAATAAATCAAACTACTCAAAAGATTTAGCAATTCAGGTTTTCTCATCCATATGGTTCTTGAAAGTCACCTACCAAGTATAAACTATACTTAGTTTACAGCTACAATTCACGGTGAAGCAGAATGAATCAGAATGTTTGTTAGCCATAAAAATTGAGTTCGTTTTTTTTTTTCAAGAAGAAATAGGTCCTGACCCCAATTTTCTGTGGCAAAAAATTTTATAAGCTAAATCAGCTGATCAGCATCATGATACTGAATCGCTAGTCTACAGTCAATTCATTTGAGACATAATTAAGCAGTCCACACTAATTCAGAATGATCAGACAAAACTACAAATTTTCATTACATACGTTTTAAAAAGGTTTATTACACTTGGAAAGGTTTATTATCCCGTTTAAAGAGGTGTATTAAGGGCTCTCGAGAACTGTTGAACCTCCTATTCCTTGGAACTGCTATATCACTCAGGTGGATGATAAACGGATTCGCCTGGTCAGTTTCACTTATTATTAATTACAAGCCGGGAAGGAACCGAGCTGGAGGCCCTCTGTTGGCTGAAGAAATGGGACTGCATTGTTTGCAAAGCGGGGTTTGCCTGGGTTTGCCCCAGCCACCAGCGCGGGGCCCACACCTGCTGGGGGGCCAGGGCCCGTTTATTTTTACCTTCTCCAGTCTCTCAAAGTACTCCCTGAGGAAGGCCATGGGTCTCTCGGGCCGGGCCGTGCACAGCTGCACGATGGAGTCTTTGAGGAGGGCCTGGATGTTGTGCTTCTGGACATAGAGCTCACACTCGCGGAGGCTGCGCTCCTCCTCGCAGGCGCTGCTGCCGGACGCCATGGTCTCCTGCGGGGACACAGAGTCAGGGGGGCAGGCACTGGCCTCCCTGCCAGGTCATTAGCAAGCCCCAGGCTCGGTAATGAATTACCACGATGATGCGCTGATGCGCGGCATTAATCATGACCCAGAGGGCTCTCTCGGTTTCAACAGGGAGGGGGAGGGGAGGGCGAGGGGGGCCGGCTGCAGGGTCCAGGGCCCGGGACAGGGCTCGGCTGTCCCTGCGCAGCCCCTCGGCCCCAGGCGCAGGCGCCAGCCTCTATCCCCTGCAGAGGCGGGTAGCTGAGGAGTCAGGCCTCCCGGGAATACCATTCGACTCTACCCCGCAAAAGAAACCGTGATGACGTGGGAACTGTGTTGGATGGTAAACAGCAGAGAGAATTACAAGGGCACACAAGTCAGCTCCGAGTGAAAGCCAGCAAGCAAATGAAGAACATCCGAATCCTCGCCACGTTAACTCCCGTCCCCAGGGGCCGCCTGATGTCACCTCGCAAACCCCGGGAACAAGGATCTGATTAGTCAACTCCTGGCATAACCGAAATGTCTAAAAACACAATAGAACCCTCAAACTGCCTTAAGAGCTTTAAATAAACAACCTTATTCCAGAATCTTACCCCCGTTTCCAGTAGTGAAAGATCACACACTTGCTAGAAAAGGCTAATAAGCAGTAAATATGGGACAGGAAAGGGGGAAAAAATCTGCTATAAAACATTCGATAGAGAATTATCAAATTATTTTCATCAGGACCAAAAACATCCGAACACAGTTTGCTCTTATATAATTCTATCTAATGAGTTTTAGGAGGCTCAAACTGCCATGATGTAAAATTGAAGATACAATAATGAGCAGGATTAAAAGCTTAGTATTTTAACAGGGCCATGCACTGTTTTCCTCCAACTACTGCTTATAAATTAATATCTGAAGATAAAATCTAAGTGCCCACTCTCTGAATCCAGAATCAATCCTACTTTTCCATCCCTAATGCATACAAAACTGAGGTGAAACCTACGTGTAAAAGCAGGAGAAATACCAGAGCAGAGCGCCAACAAAGGGCCACCCTCTTACTCACTGTGTTTTGACAACTTCCATGATACAAATCAGTTAACTGCAGACTAATAAGCCATGAGTCTCCAACACCCTAACCGCACGTAATTCAGAGGCCGAGAACCCCGCTGCTCCTTACAGAAATACACATGCCCACAGAAAATTCATTTCTGCTGGATGCACGTAGATCAGTCATTCTTGTAGGCCTGAGACTCATGTCAAGCGAGAACCCCTTTCCGGGGAATTTTCTGCATTTGAAGCGATACTAAAGCCCTCCGAAGCCTATGGAAGGAGCGGCCCTTCTATGCGCTAAGGCACGCGGGTATTTTTCAGAAATCTCAATGAATGTATCCGGAGGAATCATTCAAATATTCAAGACCTCCGGTGGGGAAAAACTGGCGACCAGCGTAGCGTCTCAGTGGTCCGAGGGCACTTCTGGGTTTGAAACAACGTAGTTGAAAACGCCCAAAGGTTGGGGCAGAAGGTTTGCAAGGAAAAAGGCCCCAAAGATGAATGCAGTAGCGAGGGGAAGCCCCACATTATCCAAAACGGCATCGCCCCGATGACGGAATATAATAACGGAATAATTCCTAGATGCACTCTAAACCTCAAGAACGCGACGATTCACAGTCCCCCCAACCTCTCCCTCTCCCCCAGCCCCAGCCCCAGCCAGGGATCTTCCGACTTGAAAACCCGCTGGCAAGGAAGTGCTCTGCGGGGTGTGGAGCAACAAAATCCTTTGGGATCAATCAAGCCACGCGTGGAGCATCCCCCATTCCCCCCTCCCCAACGCCCGGACGCAACAGTTGCTGGCTGGGGGCCCAGAGCGGTGGCACAGCCGCTATGCACGCGGCAGGGCCCGAGTTCGATCCCTGGTATCCCACGGGGGGACACGAACCCGGGTTCGATCCCCGAGCACTGCCAAGGAGTTAATTCTCCCGAGTACAAAGCCAGGAAGAACCCGCGACTCAATAGAAAAAGGCAAAAAAAAATAATAATTTTTTTGCCGCACCCCCCATCCCCCACCTAGATCTCGCCCAGAAACACAACTGTGCCCGTTTCCCCAGGGTCGGCCAGGGAGGGCCGCGCTTCCGTGGCACTGCAGCAAAACGCCAACGCACTCTCGGGGGAGAGGGACGCTGGGAAGGGCCCCCCCCCAACACTTGCGGCCAGTACGAGGGGCGAGCAGGGGTGGGGGGAGAGGGGCGGGAGGTCGCGGGGTGCGCAGGGCTGGGGTCGGGAGCGTGTCGCGCAGCCCGGGGGGGGGGGGATCAACCCCCAACCCACCCCACCCCACCCCCCCGCACGTCGCCGAGGGCCGCAAGGGACGTCCACCCGCCGCCTCGGGCCTGAGCGCTCACGGTGGGAGGGACAAAGATAGAGGGGTCTAGAGGGACTCGAGGAGACACCCCCCACCCAACCCTCCACGCGGGGGTGGACGCGAGAGCGGAGGGATGGGCAGCGGGCAGGGCCCAGTCGGGGGGAGGGGAGGGAAACCAGCACGGCGGCTGCAGAGGCCCGGGGAAAGCCACGGCCGGGCGGCCGCCGCAGCGCCCAGCTGCCGGCCTGCAGGAAACGGGGGGGAGGGGCGCGGGGGGGCGGCGGCCGGGGGGCGGGGGGCTGCGGGGGGGGGGGGCCGCGCAGGCGCTAAGGGGAAGGCGGGGCGGGACGGGGCCGGGGGGCGGAGCGGGGGCTGCGGAAGGGGGTGGCGGGGCGGCCCGGGGGCCCCTTGGGGGGGCGGGGGAGGCCGGGGGCGGGGGAGGCCGGGGGCTGCGGGGGTCCGGGGCGGCGGGGGTGGCCGGGGGTTGCGGGGATTCGGGGCGGCGGGAGTGGAGTGGCCTGGGGGCTGCGGGGGCGGCCGGGGGGGGGGGGAAGGGGCTGCGGGGAGGGCGAAGGAGGAGGGGGGCGGGGGCTGCGGGAGGGTGGACGAAGGCTGAGGGGGGGCGGGGCGGAGGCTGCGGGGGAGGACGGAGACTGCGGGGGCGGGGCAGCCCAGCGGGTCTGCAGCCCCGCCCGGGGGTCCCCGGCGGCGCGGCGGCGGGGCCCCCGGGGAGGCGGCAGGGGGTGCGGCCGTGCCCCCCTCCGCGGGCCGCCGCTCCCCGGGCCGCCATCTTGGATCGGTCCAGCGCCCCCAAACGGGCGCCGGGGCCACGGGCCTGCCGGGCCGGGGCCCCCCCGGGCGCCCGCGCTCTCACCTGGGGGCGGCGGGCGGGCTCGGGGCTGCGGCGGCGGCGGAGACCTGAGACACAGGCCCGGCGCTCTCGGCGATTCCCTCCCGGCGCGTCTCCCGCTCCGCGATAGCGGCTCGGCGGCGGCGGCGACGGCGGCGGCGGCTCCACCGGAAACGGCGCGGCCACAGCCAATCAGCGCGCGGCCGCTGACGTCAATGCGCCTCGCTCTGGCCAGAGCCGTCGCCTAGGCAACCTTAAAGGAGCCGTGGCCCCGGTTCCTCTTCCCTACCCCTTCCCCCCACCACCAACGCGGCTCGGAAAGGGACCCTGGAAAAGGACCCCCCCCACCGCGCTTCACCCGAGCATCGTCCCCTCGATGTGCTGCTCCGTCCCCCTTGCTTCGTTTCCCAGCCCTGTCTGTCTGGCTTCCCCAACCTCCGTTCCCCCCATTCGATTCGCTCTCGCTTGGCGCCTGCCCATCCTTACCTGTTCCTCTGCGGATGCTCAAGCCCCCTAAGCCTCTGCGGATGTCTCAAGCCCCCTAAACGTCTTCCTTCTGCGCTAGGCGCTCTGTCTGTCTGTCTCTCTCTCTCTCTCTCTCTCTCTCTCTCTCTCTCTCTCTCTCTCGGCGCGGCGGTTTTATGGGTGGTCTCTCCCCGTGCGTCCCCTCTTCTCTGCTCCCCACTCGCACTCCCGCCTTCCTCGCCGCCTCCGCTTTTTCTCCCTCCTTCGAACCCCCACCCCACCCGGGCGAGCCCACGTGGGGTGTCTCGGATGACAGGTGCGCCCGGCTCCGCCCCGCGGCCCCCGGAGTGAGGACGGGCACCGGGGCGGGGAGATTCCTGCCGCCGCTCGCCCGCCCGCCCGCCCCGGAGGGTCAGCGGATGCCCGGGATGCGCGCGCCGAGCATCCTGTGCCCCGCCGGGCCTCCGGGCTCGGGGCCGCCATCCGGTCCAGGAAACCTGAGCCCCGCCGGGCACTGCGGGGCCGAGCGGGCGCCTCCCCCCCTCCACTCCCCGGGGCCTGCGGGGATGGGGCAGTCGTCGGGGGAGGCCAGACGACATTGCAGAGGACGTGGTCAGGGGTCCAGGAAAGGTCCGGGGCTGCTACAGCCTGAGATGCAGCCCGCCCCTCTCCGCCCCATTCTCACACCTGAGAAGCACAGGACGTGCAGCTTTTGACACCGAAGCTCTAATCGCGCAAGAAATCTCAACTGAGCGCAAAATCGGGGGAGGGGGGCGACTAATTTACTCCTTCGGCCATTTTTTCCCACATCAGAGAACCTGTAGAGGAAGAATGGTCCTGGACGCAGACCCGCGAGCCCAGTGCTTGCTTGCGTCCAGCTGGGACCGCTACTTGTACAACCCCACGTCCTTGCAGGTCAATTACACAGAGAATTTGACCTAATACATCTATATTATGGCAATAATTTTCATATTGATTCTGGGATGAAATGGTTATAGTTTGGTTAGGATTGGCTTAAATATAAAAAAAATAATTTTACTTTTTTTTTTTACTCTTCTACGATAGCTATTAGAGATATTTAATTAGGTATGTGATTCCGGTTCTCTTCCTGTTGCATAGCCCAGCCAGAGAGGTCAACTGCCTCCTCCCGAGATACACCAGTCTGTGATTAGGGTCCTGTTAGTCATCATATTTCCCTTGTTTATTGGGCTTTCCCTGACTTTCTGGAAGTCACAGGAGACAAAAGACAGCAGAGAGACCTTCAGGCTTCCAGGAGGGGGTATAGGGAAAGTTGTTTCTCTTTCCACTAAACACACACACACCATACTTCACCGAGCGTTGAGTGGACGGGGGATTATACGCAGAGACTCTTGTCATATAATGTTTCACCCTTGTCAGTACAAAGAAGGGCTTAACCAACTGAACCCTAAACTGGCAAGCAGGAGAGGGAATCCGATAGCCTTGAACAGGTCTGGTCCTGTTCAGAGCAGAAACACACAGAGGTCGAATAAATCTGAGTTTGGTTTTGGACTCCACCATGTCCGGTAATTGGCTTAATCTCCATGTGATGAGCCTCAGTTTCCTTAATGGGAAAAGGATAAACAGGCCTGGGGACAGTTGCCTGGTAGGGAGTGACTGCACTGAGGGCCCAGCTCTAAGTTTATTGTACATTGCAATGAATTAAACCAGCAAAATGACTTTCCGGCAGCGCTTTTGTGATGGGACTTGTTACAGAAACAGAGAGGGAGAGGAGTTCAGTAACGTGTCAATGGCAACACAAATCATGGTGGCTTCCGCCCAGCAATCTGATTCCCTCTCAGAGACAGCATCTATGCAACGAAAAGGCCCAGGGCAGCAGGGGTACAGAAAACAAGTGTTAATCTGCTCTCCACTCCTAAAGTGCTCCAGACCAAGATGCACTGTGTCCATAGCAAGTGGTCCCTGCCTGAGAAGTAAACTGGGTGACATTAAGCCTGATCTTTTTTGTTTGTTTTTTTTTTTTTTTTGGTTTTGTTCAGGGGCGGCGCTCAGGGCTTTCTCTTGGCTCTATGCTCAGGGATCACCCCAACAGAGCTCGGGGAATCACATGCAGTACTGGGGATCAAACCTGGCAAGCACCCCACCTTGCTTTTCTGTCTCTCTGGTCCTGAGCCTGATCTTTGAGTGTCAGCTGAAAGGTCTGGGTGTATGTTCCCGCTCAGCGGCACTCAGATGCTTGTCCTGATGGCTGGGGTCATTTCCTGTATTAGTCATCCTCACCCTTATTCCAGCCACCAAGTTCTCATGCTACACTGGGCCTTTAAAAGACATAAACCCCAAAGCGAGCTCAGCAGGCTGGAGCACAGGCTTTGTATGCAGGACCACCAGGTTTGGTCCCCAGCAACACAGGGTCTCCCCCGAGGGAGCAAAGCCCCCCAGAACTGAGCCAGGAGTAGACCCCAAGCACCACACCAGGTGGCCCAAAACACACAGACATTAGAGAGCTCAGCCTGGTGCAAATTCTCTGGTAGTCCCTGTGGTGAAAAGCCCACCGGCCCAGCCAGAGTGATGGTAAGGCACTTGCCTTGCTCACAGCCAACACAGATTCAACCCCTAGCACTGTAGAGGATCCCACCCCCCAGCCCCACCAGGAATGACTCCTGAGCACTGAGCCGGAAGTAAGCCCTGAGCACCCCCGCCTTGTGTGGCCCCGAAGTCTCTGTGGCTGCCAAACGACACATTTCAGGAATGACAATGTTCCCACATCATTTTTTTGTTTGTTTTTTGACTTGGTTTTTTTGTTGTTGCTGTTTTTGTTTGTTTTTTGTTTTGTTTTTTTTTTTTTTTTGCTTTTTGGGTCACACCTGGCAATGCACAGAGGTTACTCCTGGCTTTGCACTCAGCACCTGGTGGTGCTCGGGGGACCATATGGGATACTGGGAATCAAACCCGGGTCCGCCCGCATGCAAGGCGTGTGTCCTACCCGCTGTACTATCGCTCCAGTCCCTCCACGTCATCTTGGGCCTTTTTTCTTTCCTCAGAGGCTTTCTGTCCTGAATTCCCACGCCTGTGGGCCTTGTCTTAAAGCTCAACGTTGTAAGTTTCTCAGGTTGCAGAGTGCTCAGTCAAATTTTCTTGTAAACAGTGAAATTCTTGGGCAGGAGAAAGAGTTCAACCATCTGCATCATAACCTTTGCCTGCAAGAGGCCCGGCTTCAATCTCCCACCCCGCATGGTGGGAGTACTATAGTCCTCAGATGTGACCACAAAACAAAAGCAAAAAATAAATTCTTTAATCGCTGTTTCCATCTTTGTGTAATAAACTAACAGCATAACGGTCAAACAAGTATCAGTCCGGCCTTTAACAAGCAGAAATAGAACTGAAGCAGGAGCCAGTGCAGAAAAGTGGTGGCCGGCTCCTTACTGTTCTCGCGCTGAGCGTTTCCGTTGGCTAGAGAGCCTCTTGTTGGCGCATTGCAGGTTTCCAGGGAGAACTGTCAGATGATCGCCACCTATTTGCAGCTGCTTCAGCTTCCTGTGGGTTCCCCAGTTGTGGTTTCAAACAGATTCCAGCCAGGGTGCAAATGCCCAGAGTCACCCTCTGACTTTCTCTCTGACAAATGCCGTTGCTCTTGGGCACCGACTACAATCGTTAACCACAGACCCTGAAGAGTGAGAAGCCTGCGCAATTACCCAAGAATTCTCCAGTGGGCAAACGTCTTCATCTGAAATAGCCTATGTTAATGCACAATGTTCCAACAGAGCTAGTCAGAACCTTTAGAACATGGGCCCCAGCTGGAAATTCAGGAGCATGGAGGTGCAAGTCTGGAGTCCCTGAGAGTCCCTGAGGCCTTCAAATGATTGGGCCACCCACCTGATGGCTTCTCGCTCAACTCAAAGATTATTCACATCTGCAAAAGACCTTTTCAATAATCAGTGTTTGATTGAAGAATAGGGACCATGAGGTAGCACTGCACTGCACTGTCCTCTCATTGTTCATCGATTTGCTCGAGCGGGCACTGGTAACATCTCCATCGTGAGACTTGTTGTTACTGTTTTTGGCATATCAAATACGTCATGGGTAGCTTGTAGGCAGGGTACTCTCAGTAGCTTGCCGGGCTCTCCCAGAGGGGTGGAGGAATCGAACGCAGATGGGCTCGGGTTGGTCGCATGCAAGGCAAACACCCTACTCGCTGTGCTATCACACCAGCCTCAGGACCATGAGGTAGCCACAAAAAAAAAAAAAAAATTTAAGTTGACATACAAAATAAAGCATCGAGGCCAGAGTGATAGTAAAGCAGATAGAGTGTTTGCCTTGCATGCGGCCAACCCAGGTTCGATACCCAGCATCCCATATGGTCCCCCAGCTCCACCAGGAGTGCAGAGCCAGAAGTAATCCCTGAGTATTGCTAGGTGTGAACCAAAAAGAAAAAAATAATAATAAGGCATCCCAGGAGAAAAATTAAGTCTGTTCAGCTTAGGGGCTAAAGCGATAGTACAGGGGGTAGGGTGTTTGCCTTGCATACTGCCAACCCAAGTTTGATCCCCAGCATCCCATATGGACCCCCAAGTACTGCCAGGAGTAGTTACTGAATGCAGAGCCAGGAGCAACCCCTGAGCATTGCTAGGTGTGACCCACAAAAAAAGCAAAATAAATAAATTTTTGCTTAAAAAAGAAAAA